ACAAATTCCCTGTGTTTCATGTATAAAGATTTAGGAACATAGTGATACTCCCTACCCTTCTCTCCTTTCCTACCCACACTCCCACCCTTCCTCTCCCTTCCTCTCAGTGTTATTAGGAATCTAAACTAGTAGAGTCATTGTAGAAGACAACATGGAGATTCCTCAGGTATCTGAAAACAGATCTACCATTTGACTCACCCATCCCTGAAATTTACCCAAGGGAAATGAAATCAGCATATGAAAGAGTTATCTGGGCCCCCCTGTAAATTCTATCAGGTTCTTACTGATACCTTCATGATACTATATTATGATACTTCTAATCCTAACTTTATACCTCAAAGTAGAAAGATACTAAACTGTCTTCAGTGTTTATGCTCAATTTGTTTTCTCTCCTAATTTTTAATTGAAGAAACCAAGATCTGTTTTTAAATTCTGATAAAGTTCATCTTTTGGGGATGGGCTTTATGATGCAACTTGAGATACCCAGATTCCTTATCATATGCCTGGTTTGTATCCTAGATGCTCTGTTCCTATCCTGCTTTCTTGGGAGACATCAGATGATGGTTCAAGTTCTTGAGCCACTATCTGCCACCTCTGAGGGAGACCCAGATGGAGTCATTGACTCATGACTTTGAAACGGCCCAGTCCTAGCTGTTGGAGGAATTGAGGGAGAAAACCAGTGGATGGAAGATCTCTCTTCTCTCTCTCTCTCTCTTATTTCACCTTTCTTTGTCATCTGATTTTTTGACTTTTATTGTTATTTATTATCACACTGATGCATTACTGCCTTATAGAAGATTATTTTGCTACTGAAATAAATGAAAGATGTGGATGGAAACTTTGTTGTAAGGAAAATACAAAGTAGTGTGTAGACAGAGGTAAGAGCAGGCTACCCTGCCTGGAATCCCTGTCTCTCCAGTTCCTATCTGTTAATCTCAAAGCAGGTATTTAAAAGCTATGATTCTTGGCCGGCGCCGCTGCTCAATAGGCTAACCCTCCACCTAGTGGCACCAGCATACCAGGTTCTAGTCCCAGTTGGGGCGCCGGATTCTGTCCCGGTTGCCCCTCTTCCAGGCCAGCTCTCTGCTGTGGCCAGGGAGTGCAGTGGAGGATGGCCCAAGTGCTTGGGCCCTGCACCCCATGGGAGACCAGGAGAAGCACCTGGCTCCTGGCTTCGGATCAGCGCGGTGCACCGGCCACAGCGCACCAGCCGTGGCTGCCATTGGAGGGTGAACCAATGGCAAAAAGGAAGACCTATCTCTCTGTCTCTCTCTCTCACTGTCCACTCTACCTGTCAAAAAAATAAATAAAATAAATAAAAGCTATGGTTCTTAAACTCTTGAGTATACTGGGGTTACAACAGTACTTACTTTATAGGGCTAAGAGTGTTCATGTAGCACAGTATTCATTACTGAGTGAGGGCTCAAGTAGCTATGTATTAGCATTAAAAAATTTTTAAGTTATTTTTGACATAACATATTTTATTTTTTAAATGTTTATTCTATTTGAAAGTCAGAGTTACACACAGAGAGAAGAGGCGGGGTGGGGGAGGGTAGAAGTCTTCCATCCACTGGTTCGCTCCCCAAATGACCACAATGGCCAGAACTGAGCTGATCCGAAGCCAGGAGCTTGGAGCTAGGAGCTTCTTCCAAGTCTCCCACACGGGTGCAGAGGCCCAAAGACTTGGGTCATCTTTTACTGCTTTCCCGAGCCACAGCAGAGAGCTGGATTGGAAGTGGCTCAGCCAGGACTCAAAATGGCACCTATATGGGATGCCGGCACTGCAGGCGGCGGATTTACCAGCTATGCCACAGCACCATTCTAGACATATTTTAAATTTACATTATAATTGAAGATTATTGGCTCCCTTAAGAAAAGAATTCAGAAAATAGATTATAATCCATCAAAAAAAAGGCAATGGCTAAACACAATAATCAAAAGAGAAAATGTTTAACAATGTTCAACTTCACTCATATAGCCACAAAAATACAAAATTGCCACAAAAATCACCAAACCATAATAACATACGATTCCTATCAATTTGACAAATACTTAAAACAAAGTTTGACAAAACACAGTATTTGCAGCAAAACTGATATGCTCAGGAATTTCTTTTTCTTTTTCTCTTTCTCTCTTTTTTTTTTTTTTTAGTTTTTAATTTTAATTCCCACATATAAGGGAGAACATGTGATATTTGTCTTACTGTGCCTGGCTTATTCATTTCACCTGTCCTCTGATTCCAACTATTTTGCCACAAGTGATAGAATTTCATTCTATTTTATAGCTGAATAATATTCCATTTGCATATATGTACCACAGTTTCTTTATCCATGCATCTGATGATGGACTTCCTGGTTCATCCCATATTCTGGCTATTAAGGAAATGATTTCATGTCTTTTGCGTATATACTGAATAGTGGCATTGCTGGATTACAGGACAATTCTATCTATAATTCAGAAGAAATCTCCATGTTTTCCACAATGGATCACTAATTTGCATTCCTATGAAAACTATGTAAGAGTTCCCCTTTATTCACATCCTCATTAGCACATGGTGGTCTCTGTCTTTTGGATAATAGTCATTTGGTGGTAGTCATTTGAGATGGTATCTCACTGTGGTTTTGTTTTGCATTTCTCTTATGGCTAGTGATGAGCATTTTTTCATGTATTTGTTGGCCATTTTTTTTTAAGATTTATTTTGAAAGACAGTTACAGAGAGAGGAGAGGCAAAGACAGAGAGAAGTCTTCTATCCACTGGTTCACTCCCCAGATGCCGCAATGGCCAGAGCTGTGCCGATCCATAGCCAGTAGCCAGGAGCTTCTTCCAGGTCTCCCACATGGGTGCAAGGGCCCAAGGACTTGGGCCATCTTCTACTGCTTTCCCAGGCCATAGAAAAGAGCTGGATCAGAAGAGGAGCAGCGGGGACTAGAACCGGCGCCCATATGGGATGCCGGCAATTCAGGCCAGGGCTTTAACCCACTGTACCACTGCGCCAGCCCCATGGCCATTTTTTTCTTCTTGAGAACAGTCTATTCATGTCCTTTGCCTATTTCTTAATTGAATTGTGTTGTTGTTGTTGAGATTTTTGTATTGCTACTATATTCTGGTTATTAATCCTTTGTTGAAAAAGTAGCCTGCAAATATTTTCTCTTATTCTGTCCAATTTATTGATTATTTATTTTTTAAGATTTATTTATTTATTTGAAAAGCAGAGTTACAGAGAGTAGAGGCATAGAGAGAGAGAGAGATAGAGAGAGAGAGAGAGAAACAGAAGACTTCTATTTGCTGGTTCACTCCCCAAATGGCCACAACATCCAGAGCTAGGCTAATCTGAAGCCAGGAGCCAGGAGCTTCTTCCAGGTCTCCCACGTAGGTGCAGGGGCCCAAGAAGTTGGGCCATCTTGTCCAGCTCTCCCATGCCATAACAGAGAGCTGGTTCAGAAGTAGAGCAGCTAGGACTCAAACCAGTGCCCATATGGGATGCCGGCATTGCAGGTGGCAGCTTTACCCTCTATTCCACAGTGCCAGCCCCTAGTGATTATTTCAATTAAAAATAAAAATACAAAATTTTTAAAAATGCATCTTTGGCCAGCACCATAGCTCACTTGGCTAATCCTCTGCCTGTGGCACCGGCACCATGGGTTATAGTCCTGGTTAGGGTTCTAGGTACTAGTCCTTGTTGCTCCTCTTCCAGTCCAGCTTTCTGCTGTTACCCGGGAAGGCAGCAGAGGATGGCCCAAGTGCTTGGGTCTCTGCACCCGCATGGGAGACCGGGAGGAAGTACCCGATTCCTGGCTTCGGATCGGCACAGTGCCGGCCATGGAGGCCATTGGAGGAGTGAACCAACGGAAGGAAGACCTTTCTCTCTGTCTCTCTCTCACTGTCTATAACTCTCCTTCTATCTCTCTCTCCTCACTATCTAACTCTGCCTGGACAAAAAAAAAAAAAGTCATTTTTACCTTTACTGGATCAACTTGCACAATTAAATTTAAGATTTTTCTCAAATTTATCTCACTGAATCACCCATCATTTTTTATATGATCTAGACAAAACTTGATGTTTATTTTATTTACTTGAGAGGTAGAGTTACAGAGAGAGAGAATGAGAAAGAGGGAGAGAGAGAGGGAGAGAGAAAGAGGTATTCTATCCACTAGTTCACTGTCTAAATGACTGCAATGGTTGGGGCTTATCTGATTCAAAGCCAGGTGCCAGGAGCTTTTTCCAGGTCTTCCATGTGGGTGTAAGGGCCCAAGCACTTGGGCCATCTTCTGCTGCTCTCCAAGGCCATGGTAGAGATCTGGATCAAAAGAGGAATAGCCAAGACATGAACTGGTTCCCTTTTGAGATGCCAGTGCTGCAGGCAGAGGCCTAGCTCACTATGCCACAGCACTGGCCCCAAAAACTTCGTGTTAAAATATGCTTTCTCGGCCGGCGCCGCGGCTCACTAGGCTAATCCTCCGCCTAGCGGCGCCGGCACACCGGGTTCTAGTCCCGGTCGGGGCGCCGGATTCTGTCCCGGTTGCCCTTCTTCCAGGCCAGCCCTCTGCTGTGGCCAGGGAGTGCAGTGGAGGATGGCCCAGGTGCTTGGGCCCTGCACCCCATGGGAGACCAGGAAAAGCACCTGGCTCCTGGCTCCTGCCATCGGATCAGCGCGGTGCGCTGGCCGCAGCGCGCCGGCCGCGGCGGCCATTGGAGGGTGAACCAACGGCAAAGGAAGACCTTTCTCTCTGTCTCTCTCTCTCACTGTCCACTCTGCCTGTCAAAAATAAAAAAAAATAAAAAAAAATGCTTTCTCATATCATCATAATAAATATATATATTGTTTTATCACCCATCTTCATTATTTTAATGGTAGCATTTGTATTTAATATACTAAAGTTGCTATTTTAATAAATTGACCTATTTTAATGAAATATTTCTGGTAGATTTTTTTTTGACAGGCAGAGTTAGAGAGAGAGACAGAGAGAAAGGTCTTCCTTTCCATTGGTTCACCCCTCAGATGGCTTCCACGGCGAAGCCAGGAGCCAGGTACTTCCTCCCAGTCTCCCATGCGGGTGCAGGGCCCAAGCACTTGGGCCATCATCCACTGCCCTCCTGGGCGACAGCAGAAAGCTAGACTGGAAGAGGAGCAACCAGGACAGAATCCAGCGCCCCAACCGGGACTAGAACCCAGGGTGCCGGTGCTACAGGTGGAGGATTAGCCAAGTAAACTGCGGCACCGGCTTCTAGTACATTATTAAATACATGTAACATCTAGTGTCAGCTGTTTAGTACACATTCACACTTGATAAAACATTTGACCCTACACCTTCAAAATATACTAAAGAACGAACGAGAATAGAGGATTCCTGGAAATCATATCTATACTTGCATGATTAATAATTCCTTAGTCTATACGTGACAGTGACTCTCATCAACATGAAGCATTTCTAATAAGCATGGAAATTGCATTAGTTTCCAGGGATATCTGACATAAACAGGAAGCAAAATAAAACCACAATAAGAGATACCAAATTTTTAAAAATTAAATTTTCATAGCAAAGGGAATTCTCATACACTGTTAATAGGAGTGCCAATTAATACAAAATATTAGGAGACAGAATTCCACTTTTTGGTGATATTGAAGATAAATTGTACTTGTGACACAGTAATTCCAACTTGGGGCATAGCCCCAAGATAACTGCATTTGAGCACTGAAACACTCATCAGGAATATTTATGGTAGCATTGCTTATAAGATCCAGCTCTCAAAGTAGTGTCTATCTTCGGCCAAGTGTCTCTACACTGAGCATCTGAATTGTGCAATATTACACATAGAAAAATGAAAAAAAAACAGGAGAGACACACAGCATAGATTAAGCTCACAAATGAATGCCGAGTCAAAGAAGTTGAGATTGCACACATGGCATGATTCTATTCATGCAAATCCCTCCCTGAACACATAGAAGACTGATTTATGTTGTTTAGGGATGCATTTTTAGATGCAAGCATTATAAAACAAACAAAAATTTCATAGCACATCCTATTTCAAGATTATAGGTTTTTTGGTGGGTTCCATTATTTTATCTGGATGGTGGTATTTGGGTGTTTAATTTATAGACACCTATTTAAATTTAGATATCTGTCGTACTTTGCTGTAAGCATATGTTGATCATAGCAGTAGAGAGATTCACTAAAGAATGTTCATGTTATTTGGGAATGACAGAAACTTATAATTGGGATATGAATGTCACAATAAACAATGGATGTATCCAAGGAAGTTGAAGCAAGTGGTAGTTTTTAAAGTAAAAAAGGGAGAGATTTACTAAGCCACTTGGGGACAAAGGTCATTGGTCTAGGAGATCCTAGGCAGGATTGACATCAGCTTGTTAATTAAAGGTGACACTGCTGGGAAGTGTTGTGTGCAGAGCATGTTTGAATCGTCACAGCCTTAAGGAATATGAAGGTGAACTTTGCCCCAGAAATCTGGCCATATCTGGGAGTTTGGAAACACACCCTGGGGCCAGTGCTGTGGCGCAGTGGGTTAACACCCTGGCCTGCAGTGCTAGCATCCTATATGGGCACCCGTTCAAGACCTAGCTGTTCCACTTCCGATTCAGCTCTTTGATCTTGCCTAGGAAAGCAGTAAAAGATGACCCAAGTCCTTGGGCCCCTGTACCCACATGGGAAACCTAGAGGAAGCTCCTGGCTCCTGGCTTCGGATCTGCACAGCTCCGGCCATTGTGGCCAATTGGGGAGTGAACCATTGGATGGAAGACCTCTCTCTCTCTGTCTCTCTGCAGCTCCTCTTTCTGTGTAACTCTGACTTTCAAATATATAATAAATAAACAAATAAACAAAAAAACCTTTATTAAAAAAAGAAAGGCACCTGATATATGTAGAAGCAGAAATCTCTTCAGAGTCTTTGGAATCTTTGATAAAATACTTATCCTGGACACCCAGGCATGAACCCTACCTCTTCCACCTTCATGATTTCCCAGCTCCAATTTTGTTTGTGTCTGACAACAATTTATTGACATCATCAATGTTCACACACATTTCACATTAAAAACAAGACAGAAAATATTATCTGTGTGTATGTGGATTGCTTCCAACAACTCCTCTAACTTATGCATCTGTTTTCCATCTTGACAATGCCCTGTTTAATAGGCCCCTAAGACTTCTTGTGCTCAAATCTCAACTCCTATTTCTCTATGCACACTGTCCTTCCTCCATCTTCTCCATCTCAGTCAGTTTCAGCATTAATTCCGATGCTTTATCTCATCTGTATGGAATCATCTATGCTTCCTCTCTCATTCATAGGTCCCTTCCAACACATTACAAAATTCCTTTGTCTGTCTTAAAAATCTAGCCTAATTCTGGCCAGCGCCACAGCTCACTAGGCTAATCCTCCGCCTGAGGCTCCGGCACACCAGGTTCTAGTCCCGGTCGGGGCGCTGGATTCTGTCCCGGTTGCCCCTCTTCCAGGCCAGCTCTCTGCTGTGGCCTGGGAGTGCAGTGGAGGATGGTCCAAGTACTTGGGCCCTGAACCCATGGGAGACCAGGAGGAGGCACCTGGCTCCTGCCTTCGGATCAGCGCGGTGCGCCGGCCGCAGCGCGTCGGCTGCGGTGGCCATTGGAGGGTGAACCAACGGCAAAGGAAGACCTTTCTCTCTGTCTCTCACTGTCCACTCTGCCTGTCAAAAAAAAAAAAATCTAGCCTAATTCTGATCATCTTACTGGTACCTTTTCATTGCTGATTGCCTTCAATCCAAAGGTTATCAGCCTGTTCTATTTTTTCACTTATTATCTGAGCGCTTCCTTATTCTCCTTGCTGCAATGCTTTCCCTTGAAGATGTGCCATCACCTCCTTTGTCCTCCTAAACTTGAGTGTTTTATTCCATACTTCTCCTACCACTGACTGTGTGGTAGAACAGGTGCTCCTCTAAATTATTGCAAAAGTCAACCATTTTCCTTTTCTTTGCAAAGCCATTAGAGTAAGCAAAACAGAGACAGAGACAGAGAATGTCCATCTACTGGTTTTCTCCCCAAATGTTCACAACAGACTCTGCTGGGCCAGGCTGAAGTTAGGAACCTGGAATACAACTCGGATCTCCCACATGGGTAGCAGAGACACAAGTACTTGAGCCATTACCTGCTGTCTCTCCAGGTGTGCATGAGCCAAAAGTTGGAATCAGAAGCAGAGCTGGACCTTGAACTGGCTGGCTGTGAGCATCCCCGCAGCATCTTAACCCCTGAACCAAATGTCTGCTCTCTTGTTTAATATTTACATGGATTCTAACTGACTATCCTTCCCTCCGCCTCTAAAATTTTGAGCTGCCGAACAGAGGACTGTGCATCTGAGTAGTCCATGTTTATTTAGGTATTTTGGTTCTTTTTGTTTCCATTCCTTGAATATCCCATTTCTTGCATAACTGCTACTTTTCCCAACAAATCATGTGCTGATTACTGGTGATCCCCATTTACATACAGTAGTCCACGCATAGTCTCAGTTTTGCCTTCTGCAATGTTGGTTTTTGCATTCAACTATGGCCTGACACATTACATGGAAAACTTTCAGAAATAAACAATTAAATCGCATACTGCTCTGGGCAGTGTGATGACCCTTCATAGCACCCTGCTCCATCCTACCTGTGACGTCAATCCTCCCTTTCTCTAGAGTAGCTATGTTGCTTTAGCGTCTGCTACTTAGTAATCATCTTGGTTATCAGATCACCTGTTGCTGGAACATAGTGCTAGTGTTCAGGTATCCCTTATGTCACTTAATAATGGCTTCCAAGAAGTGTAGTGATGCTGAAAAAATCCATGCAAAAGAGAAGCTGTAAATTGCTTCCTTTACTTGAACAGGTAGAAGCTTCTGACTTAATAAGGAAAGAAAAAGTCACTCTAAGGTTGCTAACATTCACACTAAGAATGAATCTTCTCCTATAACATTATACAAGTTTTGCTCTTGTATCTGAAATTGCAAAAGTTACACCCATAGTGCATGAAAAGCATCTAATTGAGATAGTCCTACATGCTACTCTTGAAGCTAATATTTAATTTCTGTTTGCTCCTTATTCCTCTAATTCATCCTCCATTATCTTCATTTAGTAATTGATGTCAACCCTTATTTCAATGTGAAAATACAAGCAATGAGAAAAAACTATGCCCACACTCACTGCCTCTACCCATACAAGGATAAGTAAAAACATCTGTGGGAAAATGGAATAAACACATAAGTATATTTTGGTGCAGAATATTTTTGAAATCCATGCATAATTTCTTTTCATAATATGTACTTTCCACAAGCTTTGTGAAGACCCTCTCATGTAACTACTGATACATACCTGGTTCAAAATCTATATTCCCTCATTTTCCATGAATGACTCATTTTTGTTCATAATTAAACATTTTTTTCATATATTGATTGAAAAATTAACACTCACTTTTGTAAAATATCATTTTACAATTAATGGTCATTTTTATCACACTGTTTCACTTTCATGTAAAGGCATTCTTTATACATTTTGAATATGCATATTTTTGTCTTTCAGTCTTTTTTGTTTATGGTTTTAATTTCACTAGATGATTTTTTGATAGTCAAATATGGTTAAATTACAGATGAAAAAACACAGGGCTTCTGTTTTATAATCCGTAAGCTTGAATTTTGTTGTAGAGATTTTCATTATTATGCCTTTTCTAAAATATTTATTTATTTGAAAGGCAGTTACAGAAAGAGAGGGAGAGGCACACACACACACACACAAAGAGAGAGAAAGAGAGAGAGAGAGAGAGAGAGAGAGATTCCATCTGCTGATTCACTCCCCAAATGGCCATGACTCTCACATGGGTGCATGGACCAAAGCACCTGGGTCTTTCTCCACGACTCTCCCAGGTGCATTAGCAGAGAGCTGGTTTGGAAGTAGAGCAGCGGGAACTCAAATCAGCACCCATATAGGAGGCCAGCATTGCAGGTGGCAGCGTAACTTGCAACACCACAACACCCGCCCCTATTATTTTGCCTTTTATAGATAGATACTCATAGACCATGTCTCATTGACTTTAGGGAGTGGTGTAAGGTCAGAATGAACTTTTTTTCACATTATATCTAGTGGTGCCAACATGATGCACTGAGAAGTTTATGGTATTTTTTACTGTTCCACAAAGCCACCTTTTCAATCTGTTTACATGGCCTGGATCTGTGTCCAGGCTCTTTATTTTGTTGCTTGGTCTAATTGTCTAACTTATTCCCTTGCATTCTACCATAACTACCATAGCTTTATGAGACATCTTTATGTTTGATGGAATGAGTCCTTTCACTGGGATCTTCTCCATGACTCTCTCAGCCATGGCGATTTCTCATTTCCATGTTGCAGAGGACCTGCTCCCAATCCTGACGTTGGAGCTCTATGTCTTGGAAAGCTGATTGTGCAGATGGGGGCAAAGACACCCCCACCATCAACATCTGGGTGGGTCTCACCAGCTGGAGGCACAGCAGATTAGAGTGCATTTGGTGAGAGTAAGATCTTCATTTCCTAGGCAATCTCCCTGCCAGGTTTTCTTCTAGCATGACCTTAACTTCTCATAGACAGCTCTCTCCTATGGTAGCTCGCTCTGGGGTTCAGTAAACTTTCTCTTTTTGACCTTTCAGGAAGTTTCTTGTCAATAACAACATTAAATGTGAAAATCACAATGCTGGCTTATATCTGACAAAGGAAACACAAAAAGAAACTAATTATTAGTTAAGATTTATCACATTTTACCCTTAGGAGTAGTCAATATTCCCAACTGTCTTCTCTATAATGCATACAGTTAGTGATCTTGATTTAAAAAATTAAATGTTTTGTGTTTTTAAAAAGGGATTTAATTACTTATTTGAAAGTAAGGGGGAGAGAGAGAGAGAGCAAGAGAGCTCTTCCATCAACTTGTTCACTAGACAGATACTCACAAAAGCCAGGGCTAGGCTGGGTCAAAGCTGAGAGTGTGAGAGTTTGAACACTGAGAGCTAGTTTCAAGGTAAAACAGTTTAGCAACACAGTGATTTGTCTACCAAGTGTTCATAAAATAAGAGTTTGGCTGATTTGTTTGTGTGGTTATTTCTGAGATGCTAAATTTGATTAAAATGAATTCTTCCTCTTGGCACCCTTGCATGTCATAAAGCAGAAATACACCGACATTGATTAGAAAGTCAAAATCTATATATAAATTTTGAATTACCAAAAAATTGAGCATTGTAAGCATGCTATTATTCAATAAGTTTTTTGCTGGTGGCATATTTACTTATTCCAAAGATCTATGTTTTTTTAAACCAGGGAAACACTTAATAGCAAATGCTATAAGGCTCCCTTTATATAAACAAATGTTCTTAGGCACTTAACAAATAAAGAATGTAAATTTTTAAAGGAAAAATAAAAACATGAGAGGTTGGAATGAAATACTTCCATTCTGTGTAGGAAATTACAAGCTAGGAATATCACAACTGAATCATTCTTTGTCTCTATTTTTCTTTTTGGGGGATGCAGTGCATTATACAGCACAAAAATATTTAACTGATTATTTAAAAACAGATATGCCACTTAATTTCAGCAAAAAAAAAACTGGTAAAAACAATTCAGCATTCTAAAGGGCAAAGCTTAATTAAACTTAAAATTAATGAAACTGTTGGAGTTGTTGAAGCCATCAACATATTGCAGATGCTTGCCTACAAAAGAAAGTAGAAAAGAGTAAGTTTCCACATCGGGTGCAGATATGGGGCCAACGATGTGGTGCAGAGGATTAAATTCTGCTAATGATGTCAGCATCCCCTATTGCATGTTAGTGAGAGTCCCAGCTGCTCTCCTTCCCATCCAGTTCCCTGCTAATGCACCTTGGAAGGCCACGGATAATAACCCACGTGCTTGGGCTCCTGCCACCCAAATGGAAGACCCTGATGGAGCTTCATGCTCCTGGCTTCAGCCTAGAACAGTCCTGACCATTGCAGCCATTTGGGGAGTGAACCAGCAGATAGAAGATCTCTGTCTCTCTCCCACTCCCTCTCTGTCACTCTGCCTTTCACATAAACAAATACACCTTTTTTAAAAAATTACATATTATTGCATGTTTTTCATTTCTGTTTTGTTTTGTTTTGTTTTGCTTTGCTTTGCTTTGGTCTTACTTAGCGTGGCCTAATTCTGGACTATCACTAACCAAGAGAGGACTCAGGTGGGAGATTAGTCAACCTCACTGTCGTTTTGGTTGCTTCAATTTCTCATCTTCCGGTCAACCCTCAGTGGCCCCAGCCCATAGTTTGCTTTTTCCTGGGGAACACAGTGAGATAGTGAAAAGATCGTGGACTTTGAATGAGATAAATGTCACTTCTCTAAATTATAACTTTATACATGGCTTGGGATATACATGGCTTGAGATCAATCAGTGCATATTTCTAAGTCCCAGTGTGATTATGTGTAAAATAGAGATAATGCTGACTTTATAATATTATACTTAATATAATATACATAAGTGGAGATTATACAACAGAGACTATTTTGTGAAGGTCGTATGAAATGATATGTGTAAATGCCTGTCACATAATATTCCTATTTTTAAATGACCAATAAAATTTTGTCTACAATACCTACAGAATAGCATGTGATGTCTTAAAACACACATGCATTGTGCTGTTTCCAATTCAGGGTGAGCAAAACTATCTCTTCAAAATTTGTCATCTCTTTTTTGGTGAAGACATTCAAAATCTTCTCTCCTAGCTTTATATTTCAGAAAAATAACTATGTTATCTTTATATCATAAGCTATTTTCATCTATAGGCACCCTGCTGAAACAACAGAAAACCAGAACTTATTATTCCTATCTGACTATAACTCAGCAATTTTCCCATCCTCCTCCACCTCCCAATCTTTTCCCATCCTTCTTTCTCCACCATCTTCCAAATTACTGGCTGCTGACATCCTACTCTAACTTCTATCAGATCAGTTCTTCTTAAAGTCCTATATGTAAATAAAACCATATAATACTTATCTTTTAAGGTCTCATTTATTTTCATTAATATAATGGCCTCTGTTTCACCACCAATAACAAGATTTAATCCTTTGTTTTACTGCTAAACAGTATTCCATGACATATACATGTATCATATATTCTTAACCCATTCATCCATTTATCCATTCATAAGTTGTTTCCAGTTTTTGGCTATTGTGAATAGTGCTGGAATAAGCATAGGTGTGTGGCTGTCTCTTTGACAGATTGGTTGACCGCTTTCTGCTACATTCCTGATTAGTGGGGCTGCTGGATCAAGTGCTAGTTCTATTTTTATACTTCTATACTATCTTCTACAATAGCTGTATATTCTCACCAATGGAGTCCCATTTCTCTGCATCCTTGCCAGCCCTTGTTATCTTTTGTCATCATGAAGATTTAATTTTCTCTTTTAATTTTTGTTTTTTTCCTTGCCTCAAATAATAGTCAATTAAATTTTTTCAGCAAGCAGATCACATATATATGGTTTTGCTTAACTGACAAGTATCAACTGTGATACATCATGCCCAACAACCCAGGATAGGTGATTGTGATGTGATGTGATGTGATGTCTTGTTTAGGAAGAGAATTAAAAACAAGGTTAGTAGAGTTTAGGACAGTGAGTAACCTGTCAGGCCTACCTCACCAGATAGCTCCCTGTCCAGGCTCTATATGCAAGAAAGAAATTTATTTGACATTGAAACCATTCCCAAGGTCTCTTGTTATAATTTGTGCACTTTCAGCAGGCCATTTGATATAGCAATTAAGATGCTCTTGGGATGCCCTCGTCCCTAATTGGTGTGCCTGGGTTGGAGTTCCGTCTCTGCTTCTGATTACAGCTTCCCTCTTATGCACATCTTGGGACGCAGCAGGTGATGGCTCTTCTAGTTGGATCACTGCTACTTACATGAGAGAGCTGGACTATTCTGTTTACTCTCAACTTTGACTAGACCAGCCCTATTATAGCTATTGAAGGAATTTGTGGATTAAACTAGTAGATGAAATCTTTCTTGGAAAAACAAACAAACAAACAAACAAAAAATGATTTTATTTGAAAGACAGAATAACACAGAGATAAACAAATGTTTCATCTGTTTTTTTTTACTCCACAAATGGCCACAATAACCGGGGCTAGGCCAAAACAAAGCCAGGAGCCAGAAAATTCACACAGGTTTCCCCGTGTGGGAAGAAGGGGATCAAGTGCCTGGGCCACTTCTGCTACCTTCCCAAATGCATTAGTAGGGAGCTTGATGGGAACTGGAGAATCTGGAAGTCAAATTGGCACTCCAATATAGTATGCCAGCTTCGCATGCAGCAGCTTAACCTACTGGCCCTCTTTCTGTGCTTTCAAAGAAATAAAAATGATTCATTCACTTAATTTGTTCATTCTTTATATTCAACAGTTGTATACAAGTGCTTTTTAAGATTCAAGCCTTGGGCAATACTGAATAAGACAGAATTTGGGCTAATCTTCATTATGGAGTTAACACAGACAAAATTCTATCCACTTACTACTCATTAAAAGATGTAGAAGGTACAAGGGTCAGTTTGCATGTGTTGGTTAGTTAAACTTTCAGAAAATAATTTAGATTATCCCTATTGATATTAATTTTAGTATATACAGTCTTTAGGTGTTTCAATCTCAAATATTTAAATCTCAGCTAACTATTGGCATTATTTATTTACTTTCACAGCATCTGTAACTGCAGAGGTTATTAAATATAGCAGGAGCAGAAGATCCATCTTCATGGTAAATTCAGGCCCATGTCAGTTAGCATGAGAACACAGAGGCTCTGTATGGGTGCCAGGTATAATCTATAAAATCATAAACCCACGGCCGGCGCCACGGCTCACTGGGCTAATCCTCCACCTTGCGGCGCCAGCACACCGGGTTCTAGTCCCTGTCAGGGCGCCGGATTCTGTCCCGATTGCCCCTCTTCCAGGCCAGCTCTCTGCTGTGGCCAGGGAGTGCAGTGGAGGATGGCCCAAGTGCTTGGGCCCTGCACCCCATGGAAGACCAGGATAAGCACCTGGTTCCTGCCATCGGATCAGCGCGGTGCGCCGGCCACAGTGCGCTGGCCACAGCGGCTATTGGAGGGTGAACCAACGGCAAAGGAAGACCTTTCTCTCTGTCTCTCTCTCTCACTGTCCACTCTGCCTATCAAAAAAAAAAAATCATAAACCCTAATATTGAGATGCTAAAAAATCAAAATTCTTAAAATCTAAAGTCCCAAAGCCATAATGCCAAAAGATTAAAGTCCTGAATGTTGAAATATTGGAAGCTCATTTCCCTAAACCTGAAATGCTCATGAAAAGAAAAAACTTCCATGTAAGAAAGGTGGGAAGATGCATTCTGGTAAGGAGATTGACTGCTCGGTATCATGGATTGCACTGGTATTCCTTCCGGCTGTGAAATTCTAAGAGCTTTCAGTGAATTGGGGTCTCTTCTGGCTGAAGAATCCAAGTAAGTTACTAATTATTCAAAAAGAGTTATGTACTTGGTAGGAAAAGATGTTGCCCATTGCTGTTTTACCTCATTACTGTTTCTGCCAAATCTGTGGTCTGTATACGAGTGCATGTGGAATGAATTTTCAGCTACCCAAGCAGGAATAGAAGCAAGGGAAGTTTAACAGGAAACACACGTACGACATTGTCCGTTGAATCAGAAGAGCTTCCAAAGGAGCAGGGCAATGTAGAAGATGAACGCAAGCATTTTCTCTAAGGAGATCCACGTCCTAAGAGGTAAAAATAAGCAACTATTCATTCCAAGACTTCAACATACAGGTACTGGTCATGAGACTTTTTCTAGAAAAGCCCAAGGCAATTGGCCATCATCTAACCCTGTAATTCAATTTTTCACATTATTTTTTTTCTTTTTAATTTTCTTCCCACTATTTTATAAATTATCTCTTAATTTAGGAAGCAAAAAGACAGATACACAGGCAGGCAGGCAGACAGAGTGCTCCCATCATCTGATTTATTCCCCCAAATGCTCACAATGGCTGAGACTGTGCCAGACCAAGTTAGGAGCCAGGAACTTAATTGAGGTCTCCCATGTTAGCAAACAGGAATCCAATCACTTGAACCATCACCATCCCCTCTGATTCCCAAGATCCACATTAAAAAGAAGCTGGAATACAGGAGCCAGAGCTGAATCAAACCTCAGTGCTCCTATATGGGCCTATAGGGGTTATGGGTATCTTAAACAGAATCTTAACTTGTATGTTAAATGTCACCTTCTTCCATTAATCTGTCCCAGTTTGCTCTGTCCCGGTTGCTCCTCTTCCAGTCCAGCTCTCTGCTGTGGCCCGGGAGTGCAGTGGAGGATGGCCCAAGTGCTTGGGCCCTGCACCCCATGGGAGACCAGGAGGAAGTACCTGGCTCCTGGCTTCGGATCAGCGCGGTGCGCCAGCCGCAGCGCGCCGGCCACAGCGGCCATGGGAGGGTGACCTTTCTCTCTGTCTTTCTCTCTCACTGTCCACTCTGCCTGTCAAAAAAAAAAAATCAATGTTTTTAAAGTTTGCTTATATGTACTTCATTTTTAAAACATTTTCAATATTGAAGGTATAATTTATGTAGACTTTTAGAGAGCTCTAATTTATGCATTATTTGGAAAATGTGACCTTATGAAAGTAAATTATCACCAATATTGACTTTTTATCTGAGCAGTACATGTATATAAAATATTGAAAGCATTTTCCACTGCTTTTCCAGGCCATAGCAGAGAACTGGATCAGAAGTGGAGCAGCTGGGACTTGAATCGGTGCCCATATGGGATGCCAGAACTTCAGGTGGCAGCTTTACCCACTAAATCACAGCACCAGCCCCAACCCACCTTACATCTTTATGGATCCAATCAAAAGTCTGTATTTCCATCACCATATTTTGAGTGACTGCATTCATAAAGCTAGATTCATATGATTATCAACCATGGTAATGTGTTTATGCATTTTGCTTTTTGAATAGTTTGTCTGCTCATAACGTTTATACCAGGGCAGGCATTGTGGCATAGCAGGTTAAGCCTCTGCCTGCGATGCTGGCTTCCCCTAGGAGCACAGGTTCCAGACGGAGCTGCTCCACTTCCAACCCAGCCTCCTCCCTGCTAATGGTAAAGCAATGGAAGATGGCCCCAGTGCTTGGGCCCCTGCACTCACATGGGAGACCCAGAAGAAACTCCGGACTCCTAGCTTCTACCTGGCCCAGCCCTAGACTTTGCAACCATTTAGGGAGTGAACCAGTGGATGGAAATTTTTCTCTCTCTCTCACTGTCTCCCTCTCTCTTTCTCTCCCTCTCTCTCTCCCACTCTCTGTCTCTGTCTTCTTCCTCCTCCTCTTGCTCTTCTCTCTGTAACTCTTTCAAGCACATTAAAAAAAAAAAAAAAAAAAAAGGCCGGTGCCGTGCCTCACTAGGCTAATCCTCCGCCTGAGGCGCGGCACACCGGGTTCTAGTCCCATTCGGGGCGCTGGATTCTGTCTCAGTCGCTCCTCTTCCAGTCCAGCTCTCTGCTGTGGCCCGGAAGTGCAGTGGAAGGTGGACCAGGTCCTTGGGCCCTGCACCCGCATGGGAGACCAGGAGAAGCACCTGGCTCCTGGCTTCATATCGGCGCAGCGCGCCAGCCATAGCAGCCACTTGGGGGGTGAACCAACGGAAAAAGGAGGACCTTTCTCTCTCTCTCTCTCACTGTCTAACTCTGCCGGTCAAAAAAAATTTTAAAAAACTTAAAAAAACTTTTATACCTGTGTACCTCTTGTTAATTTATTTAGTGCTTATGCTTGCTGAAATTATGTTATTGTGCATATTTTATTATTTAAAGTGGTTTATTGTATTTATATACATATGTTTCTTTAAAAATCCCTTTAAAATGCAAATAAATGTCTTATAGAGTTTTTTAAATTACTTTTTCCAAGATTATAGTTTTTGAATTTTAAAATTTTGGGATTATGATCTTTCACGATTTCACCATATGGGAAATGTTTGCTTGGGAATTATGGCTAAAACCCATCTAATAAAAGCCTAATATTAATGAGAATGCTATTTTCTTTTTTTTTAACTACAGAAAAATGATAAGTGATTAGGTCGGTTCATTGGTTCACTGTAAAATTTGGAATATTGGAGCAAATTTTAGGGACTATAGTGAGTTCTCTGCAAATGTGAGACACAGGCAGATTTCCCCAAAAAACCATCCACAATCCCCAGTTATTCAAGTCAAAGAATAAGCCCATGTGTTGAGAAGGCACTGCAAAACCCATTTGCCAATCTGTCACAGGGGAGTTGGTGCAAACATTGTTCTGTGAGAATTGACCACATTTTCCAGGGGTTTAGCTAGGAACTTTATCAGATACCAAAATAATCATCTTATCTACTAGTTAATGACTCTTCATGTTGTCTTTTCTATTCAGATTAGATATCAATACACTTATTTAACGTTGGGGTAATACATCTTTTTCTAAGGCTTCTTTCTCAACCTTGCTGCAATTATCCTGTAAGTTAATAGGTAATTGCGTGCTGTGGTCTGCTTGGGACAGCCCAGTTTGGCTCCTGTTGTCCTGGCATTCTATCTGCTTCAGCATTTGTCTCACTGCCTTTCATTTTCCAAAGTGCTGTTCTTTGGACCACAGGTGCCATATTTGGACCATCTGGTCACCCTATGACAGTGCTATTATGATTCAATTCACAAGCTCCAGTGCCAAAAATGTTAATTAACTCTTATAAACAGAGTCGTAAAGTTTTAAAATCAGGGTTCTTCTGGTTCTATAAACCTGAGTTTTCAGGGCAAAATAGATTGATTTTACTTGATAAAAGGCTGCAGGATTATATGAGTTGAACAGAAAGATGTCATCCTACAAAGATTAGAAATCAGTTCTCCTAACTTTTCAGTAACAGGCTGCATTATCTTAACCAAATCACTTTATTTCTCTGAGCCTTGTTCATTCATAAAATTCTCAATTTTCTATGGCAGTGATATACAGGGTACTAGAAAATACCATTTGTTTTGATGGTCATAGTAGCCTGTTGAGCTTAATGCTAATAGCCTCATTTTATAGATCAAGAGACTGAGGCTTATAAAACCCCACAGTTACATGTCTGATTCTGGCAGAGCTAAGAATCAAGCACAGTTCTTCTTGCTTACTAAAATCCTCATTCCTTTCCCTCTAAGAATCCCACTCACAATAGACATTAAATTATACCCTACGTATATTGTTATCATCTAGGTTATGCCAGTTGCTGTGCCACATACTTAGGGGATACAATGGTGACTGTGTCAATGCCATTGTTTGTATTCTTCCCAGTTGTGGGAAAGAGGCATAATCAAAGGAACAGGAAATAAGAGAGCCACAGGAAAGCATTCCACACACAGAGGATGGAATACAGAGGAAGGCCCGCATCCAGAGATGTAATTCCCAATTCATATATAAGAAAATTAAACACATGCAGCTGGTAGGATCAAAAGTCCTGAACACACGGCCTGCACTGTGGCGCAGCACAGTCATCCCACATGGGTGCCAGTTTGAGTCCCGGATGCTCCATTTCCAATCCAGCTCTCTACTATGGCCTGGGAAAGCAGTAGAAGATGGCCCAAGTCCTTAGGCCCCTGCATGCACATAGGAGACCCAGAAGAAGCAGCTGGCTCCTGGCTTTGGAAGAGCTCAGCTCTGGCCATTGTGGTCATTTGGGAGTAATCCAGTGGGTGGAAGACCTCTCTCTCTCTCTGGCTCTACCTGTCTCTGTAACTCTGTCTTTCAAATAAATAAAATAAATCCTTAAAAAAGTTCTGATGACAGGGCCAACATTGTGGAATATGGGGTAATGCTGCCACCTGCGATGCCAGTTATTTACATGGTGTGGTTTCCTGTCCTGGCTGCTCCACTTCTGATCCAGCTAATGACTAATGGCCTGGGAAGTTGGCCCCAGTGCTGGAGCCCCTGCCACCCACCTGGGAAACCCAGATGAATCTCCTGGCTCTTGGCTATTGCTGCCATCTGGGGAGTAAACCAAAGGATGGAAAATCCCCCCATCCCGTCTTTCTGTAACTTGGACTTTCAAATTAATAAATAAATCTTAAAAAAAAAAGTTCTGACTATAGTGTAAAGTGAAATGAGAGTTGAAAGCTAAGGCTGAATTGGTATAAAATTCTTGGATAATTCTAACCCAGACCAGTATTGTTTTACTCAGAAAGCTTGAATTTGACAATAAACTCAGGAAATACCTAATCTTATTTGTCTCTGATGGGAAGTTTCACAGGAACCTGGGAAATGACTTTTGCTTGTTGCTTTATGAAAGGATAAGACGGATGGTAAAGGAGCCAATATTGTCTGCCATGGTACACATATTATCCAATTTATTCATCACAACCAAAAGAATATTTCTATCATTATTTGATGTGGGAGGAAATGAAAACCTTGAGTGTGACTGTCCTCTCATCTGTAATAATAATTGTTGCCTAAGTAGTTGGGTGAGCTATCTGTGCACCAGGCATTATGTTAGGCATCTTACAAAATGCTTTCTCTTCATCTGCACAGTGATTTGCTAAGGAGATTAAACACCTTACCAAATTAATTAAAAAACAGAAACAGGGTTCAAAATAAGTTAGCTTGATTCGCAAATCCATGTTCTTTCCCTGTTCCAAGCTTCTCCTTAATTGTGAAATAATGTGATTAAACCAATAGCTCTCACTTAACTCCAAATCCATTCTATCCCTAATTAGGTTTACCTAGTGTGATTTTTAGATTCGCTCACTGTCTGTCTTGCTCTGGCTCTGTCCCTCTCCTGTTTTTCCTTTAGAGAATTGTAGCCCTGCAGAAAACACACACATGCATGCACACATACACACACACACACACACACATAGACACACACTGGTGTCCTTTTCCCCCACATTGTCTGATTTATACTTAGGTATGTAAAACAAATAAGCAAAAGCTAAACAAAAATAAAACCCTGCAATATGTTTTTTTGCTATGCAAAAAGTCTCATGATGCATATCAACCTGATTTACTCAGATACTAAATTTGATCCCATGAAATCATTATCTTGTAACTTTGGTCCACTATAGATTCTGCAGTTTGTCTCCTATGGTGAAAGGTCTTGTTCCAAGACCTTAAATAAACTTGATTTTCACCTCACCCCTGTGTCCATACAATGTTCAAGTGTCCAATTCTTTGAGGTATTTTTTGACTTCTGAATTTCCATTTCTTTTCATTTTTTGGGAGAGTATAATGTTTTGTAAAATCATTTACTCAGCCAATATACTTCTTTCTGATGCATAGTTTTATTTTTGCTTTTTTGTAAAATTCAGTCTATGGAGAAATAGTTTTAATAATTTGGGGTAAATCGAAGTTCAACATATTAAGTCTTTGAAATTGCAGCCTTATTTATTATACTTACTATCCAATGTGTGGGGAGCAACCCAGACTAGACTAAGTTACTGGAATTAAGACTTATTCTATGCATCTGCTCTCCCACAATATGGCGCTGGGAGAGGAGAA